CTTTTATATATATATATATATATATATATATTGTAAGAATCTTTAAAAATAAGAAACGAATTAAAAATAAAATAAGGTGATAATTTTATAATAAAAAAAGACAAGAAATGAAAACACGTAACCTGAAAAAAGAGGTTCACAAGACCGAAAGCAGTCACAAAACAATAATGATGGTCCTTATTCAGTGTCATTCGGAATGAAGCTGAAGACAGACACAGGAAATTATTGTACATGCATCGTTATTGTTGGATAAACCGCAGAATAGAGGGCATTATATTAGGTGCAATAGGTTTTAAATTCCTCAAGATCACTTGGAAACAACCAAGTAAGAAGAAAGGCATAGGAATTAAAAAATAACATAAGTGACAAGAACATGAACCATGATTACTAAAATTGTTGAGATGCCTTGAATTTATAATTTTGTCCGTTACTATTTCACTATTGTTTGAGTTGTAATGAGGGCTGTTATATTTTATCCTTGTTATCTGTATCGGATATCTCTATTCATTCAGAAATAAGAAACTCTTGACTGAACTACGTAATTTCTGTGTCGTCTTCTTTCTCTTCTCTTTCTTTTACATATTGTCATAACAATTGGTATCAGAGCTCTAGGTTACGCTAGGGCCTGATCTGAAGAAACGCAATGTCTTTGTACAAATTTGATATTGATAAATTCAATGGATCGAATGATTTCACTTTGTGGAAATTGAAGATGAAAGCGGTTATTGTGCATCAGGGTTGCGCTGCAGCACTGGAGGGTGCGGATAAATTACCCATAACTATGACTGATGATGAAAAGAAAGCGATGTTGGAAAAGGCGCACAATTTGATTCTCTTGAGTTTGACTGATGAGGTTCTACGAGAGGTAGGTGAAGAGACAAGGCTGCAGGGATGTGGAAGATGTTGGAAGATAAATTCTAGCAGAAATCCCTAACCAATCGGTTGTATTAGAAACAACGTCTCTATACCTTGCAGATGTCTGAGAATATGTCTGTGAGAGATTATCTTGATAATTTTAACCGAATTATCTTGGACCTACAGAGTATTGGAGTTAAAGTTGATGATGAGGATCTAGCTATTATTTTGTTATGCTCTCTGCCAAAATCATATGAGAATTTTATTGATACTATGTTGTATGGCAGGGATAGTATTACTCTCAACAATGTGAAGGACAACTTACAATCTAAAAAATTGAAGAGAAGAGTAGTCTCTAGTTCTAATGTGGATGATGTAGGTGTGACAGTTAACAGAGACAGAAGCATGGAGAGAGAAAATAGTAGCAAGGGTCATACACGCAGTAATTCACTTTCAAAGTCAAAGAAAGAAAGATGTTACAAATGCAAAGATGTGGGGCACATAAGGAAGAATTGTCAACAACTGAAGAAAGATAGAAATAGTAATGCCAGTGTAGCTGTTGTTCGTTCTAGTGCAACTGTCTCTGGTGAGAGTTCAGATGAAGGAGATGGCGGAGATGTTTTGACTGTTAGTACTACTAGTTTTGCTGATACATGGGTCATGGATACCAGAGCTTCTTATCACATGACTTTTAACGAGAAGCTGTTCAATTCATTTAAAGAATGAAATAGTAGTGTAAAGTTAGGTGATGATGAAGAGCTTGGAGTAAAAGGTAGTGGCGCTGTACAGATAAAAATGTATGATGACATGGTCAGAACGTTTGATGTTTGGTATGTTCCTGGCTTACAGAAGAACCTGATTTCTATTGGTGCCTTAGATAAACAAGGGTACAGTTTTTCAGGAAATGATGGACATATTACAGTTTCTAAAGGTGCTCTGGTTGTTATGAAAGGAAAGTTACAACATGGAATTTATGTTATGCTTGGCAATTCCTTTCAGGGAACGGTATCTATATCCCATTCCATAGAGCAACATGTTGATAATACAAAATTATGGCATTGTAGGTTGGGACATATGAGTGAGCGTGGACTTGTAGTGTTGAGTAAACAAGGACTGTTGGGTGGAGCGGTGACAGGGAAATTGAAGTTCTGTGAATCTTGTGTTATGGGTAAACAACGCAGGCTGAAATTCAATCACGGTAAGCACACTTCAACCGAAATATTGCAATATGTTCATTCTGATTTATGGGGTCCTTCCCCAGTTCAGTTCCATGGAAGGAGCAGGTATTTTGTGACGTTTATTGATGACTACTCTAGAAAGGTTTGGGTGTATTTTTTGAAGTCCAAGGATGAAGTGTTTGGACGTTTCAAGGAGTGGAAGACTATGGTTGAGAAACGAACCGGGAAATTAGTCAAGACTCTAAGAACAAATAATGGACTGGATAAATCGCAGCATAGGTGGAGTTTGAGGTTGAAAAGTCAAATAAAGAAAATTTGAATCCTGTGGAACAATCTAGTAATGTTCAAGAAGAGTCTCAAAGCATAGCAACAAGGAGAACAAGGAGGGAAATCAGAAAACCTACGAGGTATGCAGATGTTACTAATGTTGATACTAACTCTGTTGCATATGCCTTGCTAGTAGGTGAAAATCTTGATTCTGATGAGCCTAAATCCTATAAGGAAGCGATTCAAAGTAAAGAAGCATCGAAATGACTAATTGCCATGGATGAGGAGATGCAGTCACTTAAGAAAAATAAAACCTGGGAGTTAGTACCATTACCTAGAGGTGTGAAGCTAGTGGGATGCAAATGGGTGTTAAAAAGGAAAGAAGGGATTCCTGGTGTTGAACCATCCAGATTCAAGGCAAGACTTGTGACAAAAGGTTTTTCCCAGAAAGAAGGAATTGACTACCATGAAGTGTTCTCGCCTGTGGTAAAACATAAGACTATTCGAGTTCTGTTGGCTATGGTGAGTGCTTTAGATATGGAGTTAGAGCAGCTTGATGTGAAAACTGCATTCTTGCATGGAAATTTAGAAGAGAAGATTTATATGTCACAGCCAGATGGATTCCTTGAGGTCGGAAAAGAGAACCATGTGTGTTTGCTGAAAAAATCCTTGTATAGTTTAAAACAGAGCCCGAGGCAGTGGTACAAGAGGTTTGATGCTTTTATGATTTCCTCGAAATGAGTTTGATAACTGTGTTTATAGTAGGAAGCTATCAGATGGTTCTTATATATATTTGTTGTTGTATGTGGATGACATGCTAATTGCAGCTAAGAGCAAGACTGATATTGATGCTCTTAAAGCTATGTTGAGCAGTGAGTTTGAGATGAAGGATTTGGGTGTTGCCAAGAAGATTTTAGGAATGGAGATTTGGAGAGACAGGAATGCAGATCTACTTTATGTATCTCAGAAGAAATACATTGAAAAGTTATTGCAGTCTTTTCAAATGGAGAATTCTAAGCCTGTTAGTACTCCCTTGGCAACACATTTTAAACTTGATGTTAGCACTCTTCCTAGTACTGATGAAGAGAAGGAGTATATGAATACAGTTCCTTATTCTAGTGCTGTTGGGAGCTTAATGTATGTCATGGTTTGTACAAGACCAGATTTGGCTCATGCTGTGAGTGTGGTTAATAGATTTATGAGTAATCCTGGAAAGGCTCATTGGGAGGCTGTGAAGTGGATTATGCGATATTTGAAAGGTACTAGTAATATCTGCTTAGTTTATGGTTCTAATGATATTGGGTCTAGTCTTATTGGTTATGCAGATTCTGACTTTGGTGGAGATCTCATGAGGAGAAGATCTTTGACATGTTAAATCTTCACTCTTTATGGTTGTGTTGTAAGTTGGAAAGTAACACTTCAACCTACTATTTCTTTGTCTACCATTGAAGCGGAATACATGTCCTTGACAGAAGGGGTTAAAGAAGGTATATGGTTGCAAGGTCTTACTGATAGTCTGGGTTTGAATGTGTAGAGACGTATACTTTATTGTGATATTCAAAGTGCTTTGTGTTTGGCAAAAAATTCATTCTATCATGAAAGATCAAAGCATATTGATGTCAGATTAAATTTCATACAGGATGTAATTGAAGACAAATTGTTCTCCATAGAGAAGATTGTTACGGTAGACAATCCAGCATATATGTTGACTAAACCTTTGTCTTTTAAAAAGTTTAAGCATAGCTTGGACTTGGTGAATGATCGCATCGCTTGAGACCCGTCGGGGAGAATAAGCATGAGAGTTGTTCTTGGTAACTAGTGACTTGGGAAAATTCAAGTCAAGGTGGAGAATTGTTAAGATGCCTTGAATTTATAATTTTGTTCGTTACTATTTCACTATTATTTGGGTTGTAATGAGGCTGTTATATTTTATCCTTGTTATAAGGCTAAAAGACATCTATATCAGATATCTCTATTCATTCAGAAATAAGAAACTCTTGAACTGCCCGTGGACGTAGGTTACACTGACTGAACCACGTAATTTGTGTGTCGTCTTCTTTCTCTTCTCTTTCTTTTACATATTGTACATGCATCGTTATTGTTGGATAAACCGCAGAATAGAGGGCATTATATTAGGTGCAATAGGTTTTAAATTCCTCAAGATCACTTGGAAACAACCAAGTAAGAAGAAAGGCATAGGAATTCAAAAATAACAAAAGTGACAAAAACATGAACCATGATCACCAAAACAATTTTAGCTGAGTACCAACGTTGCCCTTGCATGGCTTGTTACCAAAATGAGCCATGCATTAAAAGCCATACGTAAGTGTGTGTGATCAACTCGCCACCTTGGCTAAGCTGCAATGCGTGGCACAGCATCTCCACCCACACACACATGACTTATCATTTTCCGTTTTTCTCTTTTTTTTGACCAATTATTTTCTGTTTCTAAAAACTCTATTTTGTAGGCATAAAAAAATTACCACTTGCAGGTCAACAACAATTTTGTTTTTTGTTGGATGTAGGAATTTGTTATACTTAAAAAAAAATCCGGCCCGTGTAGGTGATGAAGAAATTTTGTTGGATGCGATAATTTGTTTTATTCATCATTGATATAACGTCTTGATTGAAGTGAACCAGAACCAGAACCAGAACGAGCACGATAAAAAAACAGAAAAAGCAGGTGTTGTTAGTGGCTATTGAGGTGACAATGGCTGAAAGGGCAGCAAGTAACATGGTATCAGAGGTTGTAAGCAAACTAGGTGATATCCTGAGTGAATCGACAATGGCGTTTGAGGATGTAGGAAGGCTGGTTGATCGGATTGGAAAGGAGCTGAGGAGAATGAAGGAATTCACAGAAGAGCTTGAAGGGTCCAATCCGGAACAGACGGAGGTGGATTTGATAGATAATATAAGTGATGTTGCTCTTGCTGCACAAGAGGCCATAGAAATCTTTGTCAACAAGCGGAAGAGGAGTATGAGGAGTGGATTTTTCTATTTGCTTCTTGACAAATACCGCCTTGGTAGAGATCTGGCACGGATCAGTGACACCATGAGAGAAATCTCTGCCAAAATACTCATCTACGACCGAAAAAACATAGCTGTGAGTGTGACTGTTGAAGTTCCGGGTGGAGGAGGCAGCAATATAGTAGCCCCAGCAATGGAGAAGCTTGATCACATTCTTACTCAAAATTTAATCATCCTGCACGAGGAGACCATCATGGCAGTAGAACATGTGAGCAAAAATAACAAAAGTGACAAAAACATGAACCATGATCACCAAAACAATTTTAGCTGAGTACCAACGTTGCCCTTGCATGGCTTGTTACCAAAATGAGCCATGCATTAAAAGCCATACGTAAGTGTGTGTGATCAACTCGCCACCTTGGCTAAGCTGCAATGCGTGGCACAGCATCTCCACCCACACACACATGACTTATCATTTTCCGTTTTTCTCTTTTTTTTGACCAATTATTTTCTGTTTCTAAAAACTCTATTTTGTAGGCATAAAAAAATTACCACTTGCAGGTCAACAACAATTTTGTTTTTTGTTGGATGTAGGAATTTGTTATACTTAAAAAAAAATCCGGCCCGTGTAGGTGATGAAGAAATTTTGTTGGATGCGATAATTTGTTTTATTCATCATTGATATAACGTCTTGATTGAAGTGAACCAGAACCAGAACCAGAACGAGCACGATAAAAAAACAGAAAAAGCAGGTGTTGTTAGTGGCTATTGAGGTGACAATGGCTGAAAGGGCAGCAAGTAACATGGTATCAGAGGTTGTAAGCAAACTAGGTGATATCCTGAGTGAATCGACAATGGCGTTTGAGGATGTAGGAAGGCTGGTTGATCGGATTGGAAAGGAGCTGAGGAGAATGAAGGAATTCACAGAAGAGCTTGAAGGGTCCAATCCGGAACAGACGGAGGTGGATTTGATAGATAATATAAGTGATGTTGCTCTTGCTGCACAAGAGGCCATAGAAATCTTTGTCAACAAGCGGAAGAGGAGTATGAGGAGTGGATTTTTCTATTTGCTTCTTGACAAATACCGCCTTGGTAGAGATCTGGCACGGATCAGTGACACCATGAGAGAAATCTCTGCCAAAATACTCATCTACGACCGAAAAAACATAGCTGTGAGTGTGACTGTTGAAGTTCCGGGTGGAGGAGGCAGCAATATAGTAGCCCCAGCAATGGAGAAGCTTGATCACATTCTTACTCAAAATTTAATCATCCTGCACGAGGAGACCATCATGGCAGTAGAACATGTGAGAGATAACGTCTTGCAAAATCTTGTGTCTATTTCAACACCAACAGGGGAGAGAGAAAAGGTGTGGTTGGAAGAGGTTAAGGACCTTTGTGACTATACGGTAGCTGTTGCTGAAAAGTTCATTGCCAAAAGACAAAGGAGGCTTTGGCAGGTCCGTTATCTTTTTGAGCAATATGCTTCCGAGAAGGAATTTATGAAGCAGATGGAGTATATCTGCACTCAGTTTGAAGATGCACTTTACAGGAGGTGGACTTTTGGGAAAGACAAGGGACCCAAAATGGGATCAAGATCACGACCTGTTGCATTCACTAAAACTACAAGATTCCTACTAGGGCCTATCCTCGAGCCTCTATTTTTGTGGAGGCATTTGGACCAGAATTTGAAGACAACCCGAAGATATTTAGCTATCATGTGTGCGTTATTCAGCGATATTGAAAGCGCGGAAGGTCTCATTCTGAATGAAAGACAGAAAGTGTGGGTGGAACAATTAAGAGCCGTGGCTCAAAAGGGTCACTATCTTATTGCTGCATATCCAAGGCTTGACAAATTTTTTTTTGCCGAGGAAATCAACTACTTGTTGAATGAAATTATAGATATCTCAGACAGAAAGAACATTTATGGTATTGCAAATATACAAGGAGAAAGAAAAGAGTCGGGCCCAAGCAGCATCCAAGGGAGAGAGGGTGAAATCATTGATCAATTTGATCCACTTCATTTCTTTCCGTATCCGCATACCACAGAGCTCAAACGGGAATTCCAAATAATCGCAGGCGAAAAGCAATTGATGGATGCACTTTTTCGTGATGTACAAGAAATTGGGGACGAAAATCTAGATGCAAGATCCAAAATCTGGCTGGCGCAAAAGCAAGATATTGCCCGTGAAATTATATCTCTCATTCGTGAGTGTGCTAGTCTATTGAGGTATGAGCCAATAAATCTGTATGCTCGCGATATGGTACTGTCCCAGGATGCTATTATGGCGCATGCGATAGAGAGTATAAAACAGAGGAGACAGAAAATTAGAGGTGCCTCTGGAAGTCAAGTGGCATATGGTTTGGTTCAACGTCAGCCCCGAGCTGAGTCATTGTCGACGTTTCAAATATTACGTCGAAGGACACAACCATCTCTCATCGTTAAAGAATCTAGAGTGGTCGGGTTTAAAGAAGACGCAGAGGTTTTGATGGGCCAGTTACTCTCACAAGAAGAAGGTCGCTGCATTATTTCAATAGTTGGAATTGAAGGCACAGGTAAGAAAACCCTAGCCAGGTTGATATTTGACGATGAAGCTGTTGAAGATCATTTTTCTTGTCGAGTGTTCGTGTCAGTGTCTCCAAGTTGGACAGTTGAGAAGCTTCTTGATGAAATAGCCACACAGTCAGAGATAAATATAATGGGAGGCCAACAAGACACGCTCAGAATATTGGCCACTACAAAGTATCTCATAGTTCTTGATGGCATCCAATTCCGAACATCCCATTTCTTGGATACCTTGACAGAGGCCATACCTGACATGTCAACAGGAAGCAGAATTCTTCTTACCACCCGCAATGCAAGTATTGTAGCGCCACATGCAGCTGCAAGATCTTTTGTTCACCATCTACAGTTATTAGACGATGAAAATAGTTGGATTCTGTTCAAAAGAAGTTTGATCGTGGACATTCCCTTACCACCAAAACTGATAGAGGTTGGGAAAAAAATTGTGGCCAAATGCGGGGGTCTGCCATCGGAAATATTGAGAACGACTACTTTACTTTCACGCAGAGATGTCACGGACGAGGGGTGGAAAGAACAGTTGAAACAACCGAATCCAGTTGAAAACCCTTGGGCTGAAACACTTGGCACCAACTTACCTCTATATCTCAAGAGATGCTTATTTTATCTTGAGCTATTCCCTGCTAATTTTGGGATTCCCGTAAGAAGATTGGTTGTTTTGTGGGTTGCAGAGGGTCTAGTGCAACATGGGAAACACCAAGAGGCACCAGAGCAAGTGGCGGAAAGGTACTTGACAGAGTTGATAGATTTAAACATGCTTCAAGTTGCCAAGAGAAAGCCCAATGGAAAGGTCAAAACATGCCGTCTTCCTAATTCTTTGCGTGACTTGTTAGTGATAAAAGCTAACGAGCTTAGATTTCCTCAAGTCAGCACTAGCACGGATCTGAATCCAACAAATTCCAGAATACGTCAGGTGGCAGATCGTTTTGACGAAAAAGATATCTGGCACAAGCATATTCATGTTAGCAATAGAAATGATTCAGCTTCTCTAAGAAACTACTATAAAGACGTTCTCTCCTTCCTGTCTTTTGATGCTCGAGAAGGAAGTAAACCTGGGCAAGATATAAGTAAGTTTCTGAACCTGTGTATTTGGAGCAATTGTCTTTTACTGCTTCGGGTGCTTGATCTTGAAGGCGTTCACAAGCCTGAGTTGCCTGAAAACATTTCAAAACTTACTCTGTTGAGGTATCTTGGCCTAAGATGGACCTATTTACAGTCACTTCCATCATCTATAGGCAATTTGTTGAAGCTTCAGACTATTGATCTCAAACATACCTACATACATACTCTAACCAGCTCCATATGGAAGATGGAACTCAGACACCTGTTCTTGAGTGAGACTTATCGCACCAGATTTCCATCAAAACCAAAAAGTGCAGGTGATTCTCTATCTGACCTCCAAACACTATGGGGACTTTTTGTAGATGAAGGGACTCCAGTGAAGGGTGATCTAGACAAACTGGTCAATATCAAAAGATTGGGAATAGCATGTCAATCAATGTCACTAGATGAGAATGCAATGAATTCACAGCTTGATGCAGTAGCTGATTGGATTTTAAAACTAGAAAAACTTAAATCGCTGAGGCTTAAATCAAGAGATGAGAAAGGTCAACCTTGGAATTTACACTTGAACTCTCTGCAAAATCACACTGACCTCACTGACTTGTATTTGCTAGGACGCTTGAGCGGTCCATCCATTCTGTCCCGGTTTCCCCCAAACCTTAGTGAACTTACCTTATCGCATTCCAAACTAGAGGATGATCCCATGCAAATTCTGAAAGATCTTGAAAATCTTCGCTCGTTATCCTTGCTTGCAGAATCCTACTTGGGAGAAAGGTTGTTTTGCAATTCTCAAAGCTTTCCTAAGCTTCATGTCTTGAAAGTTTGGAATCTAGAGCAATTAGAGGAATGGAAGATAGAAAAAGAAGCTCTTCCATCGCTCATACAACTCGAAATCCGAGCGTGCTCGCGCATGACAAAGCTTCCGGAGGGACTACCACATGTTAACACTCTCCTTGAGTTGAAATTGACAAACATGCCAAAACAAATAGATGTTGACCAGACTCTGCTCAATTGTGATGTCCAGAGAGATAATTGATTGACTGCGAGTAGAATCACTGTTGCATTGTAGTTTTTAGCTCACACCTAATTGTTTAGTCACGCAAATTTGAAAATGTTTGGCAGTGCCAGTGACCAACATCTTGTGGTGAAGAAAGCTTTACGAGCGTTAGTGATTCAAGGTAAGTTTGGTTCCTAATTGAGGTAGTTGTTGTGATTTGTACTAATTAAAACATGTTTTTCTTGCTTGCGTAATATCTGAATCTTGTTAATTTGATGGGTAGGAGTTGTTCTGAATTGTGTGAAACAATAATTTGTAGGGGGAGTTCGTATCAAGTTGTTCTGAATTGTGTGAAACAATAATTTGTATGGGGAGTTCGTATCAAGTGCCATAAACTCCTTTCTCATAATTCTCAACTTAATTATTTAATATTTATTTCATAAATCAATCAAATTAATTATTTCAGTTATAATATTTATTTTGTAAAATAATTTTTTTTTTATAAAATCAAGTTATTTATCAAGCAATATTTATATCCCTAGTACAGAATTTAAGATTATTATACAAATTTTATTATAAAATTCTTATCATTTATAATTTAAATTTTGAAAGAATACCAGGTAAGAAATATCATATTTAGATATATTTATACAAAAAGTGTTTTTTTTACATCAAAACTATATATAACATAATATGGCATCTACATGAAAGGAAAAGTCTTATTATGATACAATTTTTTTTTTTACTTACACTAACTGATTCACGTCCCAACTTGAAATAGGATTGACATAGTTAGTAGGAATAGGCAATATGTAACCACTATAGGACCATCAATATATATTGAAACTTGTTGATTTGGTGAAAATACGAAAGAAGATAACCCGATGTTTTGAAACGTTACTGAATTTCTAATATAGTCCAATTGGTACAAGTATAATTGGTATATCTATCTCTTTAAGATTTTAAAAGATACATACATATAATTAAGAACAAGAAAAAGGAGTAAAAACATTAATCAAATAATAAAATTAACCAATTAAGAATATATATAAATATTTGCATATCATTATTAATCACAAATTTAATTTTTTTTTTATTTTACTCCATGAAGAGATTTGAATTATTTTTGTAGTGATTAGTTAGAATAAATGAGCTTAATCATAGTACTAAATAATACAAGGATATTTCACTTTAAGCATTTACTCATTTAAATCCCCAAAGTTATGTCACAAAAAAAATTCCAAGGTTAAACCTCTAATTACAAATTAATTTGAACTAATTAATAATTTATTAAAAATTAAAATTTACATTTACTACAATTTAAAGATATAAATATATGTGAATACTATATATATATATATATATATATATATATATATATGTGTGTGTGTATACTATGTATATATATATATAATCAATTAAATAATAGAAATTACATAATAAAGTTAAAAAATATATTTAAACTGCTTAAATGATAGTTAAGATTAACAAAAAATAATTAAATAAAATGAATTATAGACACCTTATTAATTTATTAAAATTAACATACATGGAACAAGTAAGATAAGATTAGAAACACCTTACCGAATAAATATAGATAAAAATAATATAAAATAGACAATTAAAATAATATAAAAATTTAAAAGAGATAAAAATGTTCTCCTCCATAGCTTAATATTTGAAGCAATACTACGAACAAAATTTAAGAACTTCGAAAATAGCTAAATAAGAAGTCCAATTTTTTTCTACTTCACTCACTTTTCTCACTTTCACCTTTGATCACCTTTTCTAGCATATCCGTTTTGTTCTTCCATTTGCAGGTCTGATAATACCTATATATAGGCAAATTCGTCATCATTGCAGTTAGTTGGTATTTTATTTTTAAGTTTTTTCTATTTGTTATACTTAGATTTCGTTTGATATGGATAACTCCTCTCGTGGATAAGTCAATTAACAGATATGCAGGTTTATCCATTTATTATATCAATTTAAGATGATTTGATATTTTATTTTTATAAAATAAAATTTATAAAGTTATTAAGCAATATAACACTTAATAAAAGTTACACTGATATTATTATAACCCCCTCATATATATATATATATATATTCAATTAATGAATGGATAAACCTGCATATTATTCACGAGAGGAGTTATCCATATCAAACAAAATCTAAGTGTAACAAATAGAAAAAACTTAAAAATAAAATATCAACTAACTGCTATGATGACGAATTTGCCTATATATAGGTATTATCATATTATTGTTCAATTTTAACAAAATTTAATATACATATATAAAGTGATTTGAACTTTCAATCTAACGGTTGAATTTACAAAATTTACATTTAATATAAAGTTATTAAGTGATGTAATACTTAGTAAAAATTATACTGGTATAATTATAACTCCTATATATATATATATATATATATATATATGCACGAAAA